AAATGGTTGCTGCTCGTCAAAGATAATCCTATCAGATATTATTAGCCCAACTCATAGTGCCTTTGTGCCCGGAAGATTGATTACAGACAATATCTTGGTGGCATATGACTGTTTCCATACAATTAAAAAGAAAAGGGCGGGTGAAGAGGGTTTGTGTGCCATCAAATTAGATATGCACAAAGCATACGACCGAGTGGAGTGGTGTTTCTTAAAGGAAATTATGCTAAAATTGGGTTTTAAAGAGAGTTGGGTGAATTTAATTATGAAATGTGTATCCTCTGTGGAGTACCGGGTCCGTATTAATGACGATGAGACGGAGAGCTTTAAACCAACTAGAGGAGGGAGAAAGGAGATCTCCTTTCTCCCTACTTATTCTTGTTATGTACAGAGGGTTTGACTGCCCTTTTAGCTAATGTGGAGGAGAATGGAAACATTTCCGGTATAAAGGTTTGCAGAGATGCCCCATCAATTTCTAATCTCCTTTTTGCTGATGACTCTTTGATCCTTATGCGAGCCAATCCAAGGAGTGCGGAGGTGCTAAAATCACTTTTGGATTTGTATTGTGCCGCCTCGGGGCAAATGGTTAGTGTTGAAAAATCTAGTATATTTTTTAGTACCAATACCAAAGTGGAAGACAAGGCACAAATATGTACAATTTTATATATTATGACTGAAGCCCTCAATGACAAATACCTGGGTTTGCCGGCAAATGTGGGCATGGACAAAAGTGATTGTTTCCAGTTCCTGATCGACCGAATCATTATGAAAATTAGTGGATGGAAGGAAAAATTGTTATCTTCTGGAGGGAAGGAAATTCTGCTCAAATCTGTTGTACAAGCCATCCCCACCTATGCCATGTCCGTCTTTAAAATTCCTAAAAAAATGCAAAGGAATTATTGACGCGATGTCGCAGTTTTGATGGGGTGACGAGGACAATCAGAAGAGGATGCATTGGATGGCATGGTAGAAAATATGTGTTCCAAAAGATCAAGGAGGTATGGGCTTTCGAGATATACACTGTTTCAACCTGGCGCTTTTAGCTAAACAAGCGTGGCGTCTTCTCGAGAATCCGGAATCTTTATGTGCAACCATCTTGAGAGCCAAATATTTCCCCGAGGGAGATTTGATGAACGCAAGTTTAAAGAAAGGATCCTCTTTTACTTGGCAAAGCATTATAGCGGGAGTGAACTCTTTGAGAAATGGTTATATCTGGCGAGTTGTAAATGGACAAAACATCGATATTTGGAGAGATGCGTGGATTTCGAATTATGCGAATAGGAAAATTATTACTCATCGAGGTGGGCAACTTCTTTCAAAGGTGGCTGATCTTATTGATTCAATCACGAATTTCTGGGATGAAGATTTGGTGAGACAAACTTTGTGGCCAATTGATGTGCAAAGGTGAAAGATCGTGGATGTCGCCTAGAGGGGGGGGGGGGTGAATAGGCGTTTTAAAACAATTACGATTTAGGCTTGAACAAATGCGGAATAAACCTAGCGGTTAATTTGTCAAGCACAAAACCTAAAACAACTAGGCTCACCTATGTGCACCAACAACTTATGCTAAGCAAGATAAGCAACTATGTGATAGCAAGATATATGACAAGAAACAATATGGCTATCACAAAGTAAAGTGCATAAGTAAAGAGCTCGGGTAAGAGATAACCGAGGCACGCGGAGACGATGATGTATCCCGAAGTTCACACCCTTGCGGATGCTAATCTCCGTTTGGAGCGGTGTGGAGGCACAATGCTCCCCAAGAAGCCACTAGGGCCACCGTAATCTCCTCACGCCCTCGCACAATGCAAGATGCTGTGATTTCACTAAGGGACCCTTGGGGGCGGTCTTCGAACCCGTATACTTTGGCAACCCTTGGGGGCGGTCACCGGTACCCGTCAAATTGCTCGGGGCTATCTCCACAACCTAATTGGAGACCTCGACGCTTGCCCGGAGCTTTACACCACAATGATTGAGCTCCGAACAACACCAACCGTCTAGGGCGCCAAGGCAGCCAAGAGGAACAAGCTCTAGGGTGCCCAAACACCCAAGAGTAATAAGCTTCTCAAACTTCACTTCCACGTATCACCGTGGAGAACTCAAACCGATGCACCAAATGCAATGACAAGGGCACACGGAGTGCCCAAGTCCTTCTCTCTCAAATCCCACCGGAGCAACTAATGCTAGGGAGGAAAATGAGAGGAAGAACAAGAAGGAGAACACCAAGAACTCCAAGATCTAGATCCAAGGGGTTCCCCTCACATAGAGGAGAAAGTGATTGGTGGAAATGTGGATCTAGATCTCCTCTCTCTTTTCCCTCAAAAACTAGCAAGAATCCATGGAGGAAATGAGAGTTAGCAAGCTCAAAGAAGGTCAACAAAGGGGAAAGAACACGAGCTCAAAGGGTTAGGTTCAATGGGGAAGAAGACCCCCTTTTATAGGAGGGGGAAAATCCAACCGTTATGTGCTCAGCCCGCACACGAGCGGTACTACCGCTCCTGGTCCCGGTACAACCGGGACTCACAGTATACGTGCAGAACCCTACCAGGCGGTACAACCGGGCGACCAGGCGGTAGCACCGGTTGAGAAGAACAACCGGACCAACCGCCCAGCCACCGCTCAACCACCGCATAGGAACAGAAGGGAGTCACCGCTGAGTGCGGTAGTCGAGCGGTACCGGGCCGGTGCAACCGCATGGCCTTGAGCGTTCGGGCGGCTAAGTCCTGAGCGGTCGAACCGCTCCGGACACCGGTGGTACTGGTACGACCGGACCAACCGGGCCGCCACCGCTCGAGTACCGCATCAAAACAGAGGCCTGACCGGTACTTGGGCGGTGCCTGGCCGGAACAACCGCCCAAGTCTTTGCTGAGCAAGTTGGCGGTACCACCGCCCGAAAGCAGCGGTACAACGGCTGAGAGCTCCAAGCGGTACTACCGTTGGGGCACGCGGTACTACCGCTGGGACCAGACAAAAGCCACTCTCAAGAAAACCAGAACTGCCATAACTTCTGCATATGAGCTCCGAATTGAGCAAACTCAAGCTTGTTGGAAACAAGACGACGAGTAGCATCAAAACTCAAGCTTGTTGGATATAGTAAGAAGAGGCAGGGGAGGTATGCCAACAAATAGAGGAGTGAAACCTCCAACCGAGAAGAACCGGCAAAACCTCCAACATCGAAAACATCATAGAAGATGCATGTGAACTCCGTTTTCGATGAACTCGAGCTTGTCATGAAGATGACCATAAGCTCTAAGACTCACAAAGAGAACCAAACAAGAACCAAGAAAGATGATGCAAGGATGCAATGGTTTGAGCTCTCTACGAACGATACGATCAAGCTACTCATCGAGAGCCCCCCTTGATAGTACGACAATCGATCCTATAACCCGGTCTCCCAACTACCATCATGAGACCGGTAAAATAGAAAACCTATCAAGGGCAAACCTTTGCCTTGCACATGGTCCACTTGAGCTAGATGATGACAATCTTGACTCCCTCAAGTTGGACCACCTTTCTTGATTGTGTTGACTCGATGAAGACTAGTTGATTGCTCCCCCATACTCCACTATGGGTGAGCCACTCTTCCTCACACCTTCACAAGTCCATTATCACCACAATGGACGGCAAGCTTCAAGCATTTGATCTCTTCGTGATGCTCCACTTGAACTTGCACACCGCAACCTAACCCCACAAAGAAATCTCACGAAGACCATGGGTTAGTACACAAAGCGTAATTGACAATTCTTACCATACCATGGGATCACTTGATCCCTCTCGGTACATCTTCTGCGCTTTGTGAGTTGATCAACTTGATTCACTCTTGACTTAGTCTTGATCATCATTGAACCTTTCGAATTCTCTTCATTTGAATGATGTCTTGAAGGTAGACATGAATGATCACACAATCTTCTTCTTCAAGACATGCTTGCAATAAGCTCAACTCTCACATGACCAATCTTTGGATAATTCCTTGAATAACACCTTGGTCGACACAAACTCTCCTTGAAACCAACACATGTACTCCAAGAAAAGCCTATGGACAAAACCTTCAAATATAACTCAAGGCAACCATTAGTCCATAGAGATTGTCATCAATTACCAAAACCAAACATGGGGGCACCGCATGTTCTTTCAAAAGGGTCCTCGCGATTCCCCTCCCTATGCAGAATATGTCGGATTTCATCGCCTGGAGCTATACAAAAAATGGTGTATTCACTGTTTGATCAGCTTATTTCGAGGAATGGAAGCAACAACACGGGAGGAAATTGCAATATACTAATGGTATGGGTCGTACCAATGTCAATCCTATTTGGGGTAAGATTTGGAAATTATCGTGTCCGACAAAGGTAAAGATATTTATTTGGCGAATGTTGCATGGAACTCTACCGTGTCATGTTACACTTGCCAATAGACATATGAAAGTTTCGCCCCTTTGCCCATCTTGCTCGAATGGGCAAGAAGATACAAAGCACATCTTGTTTCTGTGTCAGAAGGCAAAAGAGGTTTGGGAAAAGCTGGGGATGTATGAGGTAATTAAGAAAGCTTGTATTATTGATCATGCGGGTGAGGCGGTTCTTGAATTTTTACTTCTTATGCCACCCCAAGAACTATCTATATTAGGTTTCCAAAATACAAGTGAATTAATCGCGGTAACCGCCTGGTATTTATGGTGGGAGAGACGCATGTTGGTTCATGAAGGGAAATCTCAAGAAGTGAATCAGATTTCAATGGGGATTTGTGCTATAACTGCAAACTATGTGAATGCCCACTCCCCTAGTGCGACTAGTAGAAAAGAAGGATGGAGCCGACCTCCTACGGGTTTTGTTAAACTAAATGGTGACGCTTCTTTTGACCATGATATGCTCAGGGGCACGACAGGTGCGGTGCTCAGAGATGACAGAGGAAACTTCATTGCTGGCGGAAATTGGAAAATCGATTGGTGTGCTGATGTACTAATAGCAGAAGCGATGGCTCTTAGGTTTGGTCTAATTCTTGCACAAAAGATGGGATGCAATCGTTTTATTATTAACTCTGATAATATGGAAGTCATCGGCACAATGAAGAATGGAGGACAATCGGCGGGAGTTGCGGCGATAGTATTCGAGGATTGCTACTTCATGGCATGCGATTTTCCGTTGACTAGATTTGAACATTGTAATAGAGAAGCCAATAAGGTTGCTCATGAACTTGCTAGGCTAGCAAAAATTTCTGTAACTAGAGTTTGGTTTGAGGAGCCTATGAAGAATATTGTATCTTTTCTTATAGACGATGTAACTATAATTTCCAATTAATAAAGTGGATGTTTTCTTTCAAAAAAAGAGAGAGCGGGTGACGGAGTCAGAGCAGGCGACAACATGCTGCGTAACCATTAACCACCTCAGCTACTCGCTAAGATGGGCATGATAAATGAATGTAGCATCAGTAACGCCTACTGGATCCACTGAAGGAAATATGCCCTAGAGGCAATAATAAAGTTATTATTTATTTCCTTATATCATGATAAATGTTTATTATTCATGCTAGAATTGTATTAACCGGAAGCGTAATACTTGTGTGAATACATAGACAAACAAACTGTCACTAGTATGCCTCTACTTGACTAGCTCGTTAATCGAAGATGGTTATGTTTCCTAGCCATAGACATGAGTTGTCATTTGATTAACGAGATCACATCATTAGGAGAATGATGTGATTGACTTGACCCATTCCGTTAGTTTAGCACTTGATCGTTTAGTATGTTGCTATTGCTTTCTTCATGACTTATACATGTTCCTATGACTATGAGATTATGCAACTCCCGTTTACCGGAGGAACACTTTGTGTGCTACCAAACATCACAACGTAATTGGGTGATTATAAAGGTGCTCTACAGGTGTCTCCGAAGGTACATGTTGGGTTGGCGTATTTCGAGATTAGGATTTGTCACTCCGATTGTCGGAGAGGTATCTCCGGCCCTCTCGGTATTGCACATCACTTAAGCCTTGCAAGTAATTCAACTAATGAGTTAGTTGCGAGATGATGTATTACGGAACGAGTAAAGAGACTTGCCGGTAACGAGATTGAACCAGGTATTGAGATACCGGCGATCGAATCTCGGGCAAGTAACATACTGATGACAAAGGGAACAACGTATGTTGTTATGCGGTCTGACTGATAAAGATCTTCGTAGAATATGTAGGAGCCAATATGAGCATCCAGGTTCCGCTATTGGTTATTGACCAGAGACGTGTCTCGATCATGTCTACATTGTTCTCGAACCCGTAGGGTCCGCACGCTTAACGTTACGATGACAGTTTCATTATGAGTTTATGTGATTTGATGTACCGAAAGTAGTTTGGAGTCCCGGATGAGATCGGGGACATGACGAGGAGTCTCGAAATGGTCGAGACATAAAGATCGATATATTGGATGGCTATATTCGGACACCGGAAGTGTTTCGGGTGATTTCGGAGAAAACCGGAGTGCCGGAAGGGTTACCGGAACCCCCCGGGGAAGTATTGGGCCTTAGTGGGCTTGAGGGGAGAGAGAGGGCAGCATCCCAGGAGGTGGCGCGCCCCCTCCCATGAGGAGTCCGAATTGGACTAGGGGAGGGGGGCGCGACCCCTCTTTCCCTCTCCCTCTCCTTCTCTTTCCTTCCCCCTTCTCTCTTCCTAGTTGGACTAGGAAAGGGGACTCCTACTCCTACTAGGAGGAGGACTCCCCCCTCCTTGGCGCACCCCAAGGGCCGGCCGGCCTCCCCCTTGCTCCTTTATATACAGGGGCAGGGGGGCACCTCTAGACACAGAAGTTGATCTTCGTGATCGTTCTCTTAGCCGTGTGCGGTGCCCCTCCACCATAATCCTCGATAATATTGTAGCGGTGCTTAGACGAAGCCCTGCGACGGTAGAACATCAAGATCGTCACCACGCCGTCGTGCTGACGGAACTCATCCCCGACACTTTGCTGGATCGGAGTCCGGGGATCGTCATCGAGTTGAACGTGTGCAAAAACTCGGAGGTGCCGTAGTTTTGGTGCTTGATCGGTCGGGCTGTGAAGACGTACGACTACATCAACCGCGTTGTTATAACGCTTCCGCTTCCGGTCTACAAGGGTATGTAGACAACACTCTCCCCTCTCATTGCTATGCATCACCATGATCTTGCGTGTGCGTAGGAAAATTTTGAAATTACTACGTTCCCCAACAGTGGCATCCGAGCCTAGGTTTTATGTGTTGATGTTATATGCACGAGTAGAACACAAGTGAGTTGTGGGCGATATAAGTCATACTGCTTACCAGCATGTCATACTTTGGTTCGATAGTATTGTTGGATGAAACGGTTCGGACCGACATTACGCGTACGCTTACACGAGACTGGTTCTACCAACGTGCTTTGCACACAGGTGGCTGGCGGGTGTCAGTTTCTCCAACTTTAGTTGAACCGAGTGTGGCTACGCCCGGTCCTTGCGAAGGTTAAAACAACACCAACTTGACAAACTATCGTTGTGGTTTTTGATGCGTAGGTAAGATTGGTTCTTGCTAAGCCCGTAGCAGCCATGTAAAACTTGCAACAAACAAAGTAGAGGACGTCTAACTTGTTTTTGCAGGGCATGTTATGATGTGATATGGTCAAGACATGATGCTAAATTTTATTGTATGAGATGATCATGTTTTGTAACCAAGTTATCGGCAACTGGCAGGAGCCATATGGTTGTCGCTTTATTGTATGCAATTCAATCACCCTGTAATGCTTTACTTTATCACTAAGCGGTAGCGATAGTCGCAGAAGCATAAGATTGGCGAGACGACAACGATGCTACCATGGAGATCAAGGTGTCACGCCGGTGACGATGGTGATCATGACGATGCTTCGGAGATGGAGATCACAAGCACAAGATGATGATGGCCATATCATATCACTTATATTGATTGCATGTGATGTTTATCTTTTATGCATCTTATCTTGCTTTGATTGACGGTAGCATTATAAGATGATCTCTCACTAAATTTCAAGATAAAAGTGTTCTCCCTAAGTATGCACCGTTGCTAAAGTTCGTCGTGCCCAGACACCACGTGATGATCGGGTGTGATAAGCTCTACGTCCATCTACAACGGGTGCAAGCCAGTTTTGCACACGCGGAATACTCAGGTTAAACTTGACGAGCCTAGCATATGCAGATATGGCCTTGAAACACTAAGACCGAAAGGTCGAGCGTGAATCATATAGTAGATATGATCAACATAGTGATGTTCACCATTGAAAACTACCCCATTTCACGTGATGATCGGTTATGGTTTAGTTGATTTGGATCACGTGACCACTTAGAATATTAGAGGGATGTATTTCTAAATGGGAGTTCTTAAGTAATATGATTAATTGAACTTTAATTTATCATGAACTTAGTCCTGGTAGTATTAGCATATCTATGTTGTAGATCAATAGCTCGCGTTTAGCTCCCCTATTTTATTTTTGATATGTTCCTTGAGAAAGCTAAGTTGAAAGATGTTAGTAGCAATGATGCGGATTGGATCCGTGATCTAAGGTTTATCCTCATTGCTGCACAGAAGAATTATGTCTTTGATGCACCGCTAGGTGACAAACCTATTGCAGGAGCAGATGCAGATGTTATGAACATTTGGCTAGCACAATATGATGACTACTTGATAGTTTAGTGCACCATGCTTAAACGGCTTAGAATCGGGACTTCAAAGACGTTTTGAACGTCATGGACCATATGAGATGTTCCAGGAGTTGAAGTTAATATTTCAAGCAAATACCCGAGTTGAGAGATATGAAGTCTCCAACAAGTTCTATAGCTAAAAGATGGAGGAGAATAGCTCAAGCAGTGAGCATGTGCTCAGATTGTCTGGGTACTACAATCGCTTGAATCAAGTGGGACTTAATCTTCCAGATAAAATAGTGATTGACAGAATTCTCTAGTCACCATCACCAAGTTAGTAGAACTTCGTGATGAACTATAATATACAAGGGATGACGAAAGTAATTCCCAAGCTCTTCGTGATGCTGAAATCGACGAAGGTAGAAATCAAGAAAAGAGCATCAAGTGTTGATGGTTAACAAGATCACTAGTTTCAAGAAAAGGGCAAAGGGAAAGAAGGGGAACTTCAAGAAGAACGGCAAGCAAGTTGCTGCTCAAGTGAAGAAGCCCAAGTCTGGACCTAAGCCTGAGATTAAGTGCTTCTACTACAAAGGGACTGGTCACTGGAAGCAGAACTACCCCAAGTATTTGGCGGATAAGAAAGGATGGCAAAGTAAACAAAGGTATATTTGATATACATGTTATTGATGTGTACTTTACTAGTGTTCATAGCAACACCTTAGTATTTTGTACTAGTTCAGTTGCTAAGATTAGTAACTTGAATCGGGAGTTGCAGAATGAACAGAGACTAGTTAAGGGTGAGGTGACGATGTGTGTTGGAAGTAGTTCCAAGATTGATATGATCATCATCGTACACTCCCTATACTTTCGGGATTAGTGTTGAACATAAATAAGTGTTATTTGGTGTTTGCGTTGAGCATAAATATGATTCAATCATGTTTATTGCAATACGGTTATTCATTTAAGTAAGAGAATAAATTGTTGTTCTGTTTACATGAATAAAACCTTATATGGTTACACACCCAATGAAAATGGCTCGTTGGATCTCGATCGTAGTGATACACATATTCATAATATTGAAACCAAAAGATGCAAAGTTAATAATGATAGTGCAACTTATTTGTGGCACTGCAGTTTAGGTCATATTGGTGTAAAGCGCATGAAGAAACTCCATGCTGATGGGATTTTGGAATCACTTGATTATGAATCACTTGATGCTTGCAAACCATGCCTTATGGGCAAGATGACTAAAGAATCCGTTCTCCGGAACAATAGAGCGAGCAACTGACTTATTGGAAATAATGCATACTGATGTATGTGATCCGATGAGTGTTGAGGCTCACGGCAAGTATCATTATTTTCTGACCTTCACAGATGATTTGAGCAGATATGGGTATATCTACTTGATGAAACACAAGTCTGAAACGTTTGAAAAATGTTCAAAGAGTTTCAGAGTGAAGTGGAGAATCATCGCAACAAGAAAATAAAAGTTTCTACGATATGATCGTGGAGGAGAATATTTGAGTTACGAGTTTGGTCTTCAATTAAAACAATGTGGAATAGTTTCACAAACTCATGCCACCTGGAACACCACAACATAATGGTGTGTCCGAACGTCATAACCGTACTTTATTGGATATAGTACAATCTATGCTGTTTCTTACCGATTTACCAATATCGTTTTGGGATGATG